GTGTGGATAAATTATTTTAAAATAAATAGTAACTGAATAGTTGTGACTTCGAAACAAATATTGTGTGTTGTAATAAGTGTATGGTTTGCAAAGGTAAGTTATTTTTTTCTGTTATTACAGTTAACAAATTAGCAAATTGTATGTTTATCTATGTTCCACATATGGTACATTGAGCTTTAGCGCTCGTTTTTAATAATACGTACTTACGATACCTTTTCTTATGAATATCTTTGATTTTATACAGATCATGTCGCGAAGAAGATTACGTGATGAGGATATTGAAGACTGCTTAAATATTCCTTCTGGTAGTGAGGATAAAGAAGAATTTTCTGACGCTGATAGTGATGAAGAGATTCAGTTTATCCAAAACTTTTTATCTGAATCACTTAGGGACATGGAATCTTCATTATTGCCGCCAAGGCGTCAGTGATCGTCTCCTGCCAACGATGATATTCATGCTATGGATACCGAAAATCGTCAACCAGAAATGTCAGACCCTCAGCCTAGTACTTCAGGTATAACTTCAGGATCAACTGCAGGTACCGTTACACAATCACGGGCACCGAGACGATCATCATCTCAGAACAGTAAAGACTTGGCTAATAGAACCAGAGCTCCTGGCTCCGTATCTGTCACCAAAAGGAGAAGGAAGATTCAAATATCGTAGTGCGTTTAGCTAGGTGCATTCCTAAGAATCAAAATTACAGATTATTCTTTGATAATTATTACACATCTCCAGAACTGATTGCTTATTTAGCCAAAGAAGGAATTCAATCACTGGGAACTGTCAATAAAGGTCGTCTAGGAAATGATCTCAAAATACCTACCCTAAAGGATCTAAAAAAAGACAAGGTTCAGAGAGGTTATTCAGAAGAATGGGTGACAAATTATGACAACACAAAAATGTGGTACGATAACAAACCAGTAGTTTTATCATCGTCTTATGTGGGCCAAGAGCCAATACAAACAGTAAAAAGATACTGCAAGAAACAGAAAAAGTATATTGAAATAAATTGTCCCCAAATTATCAAAACATACAACCAGCATATGGGCGGTGTGGACCTCCTAGATTCGTTCCTAGGGAAATATAAAATAAAAATTAGGACAATAAAATGGGACTTGATCAATAGCTGGTTACTGTACAAAAGAGTTGGGGAGCAGACCCATACGCCAACCTCCTTAAAACAGAAAGATTTCAAATTTGAAGTAGGGAAAAGTTTAAGCATGTGTGGGCGATCCATGAACAAAAAGAGAGGTAGACCATCCTCTTTGTCTGATGAAATTGAAAATAAAAGAAAAAAGCCTAATACAGCGACCTTACCTCCTCGTGATGTGAGACGCGACGGGTTTGAGCATTTTCCTATTTGGGGTGAAAAAAGACAACGATGCAAATATCCTGGTTGCAAGGGATAAACCTTCATATCTTGTGTAAAATGTCGAGTAGAACTTTGCCTAAATAAAGAGAACAATTGTTTCAGAAATTTTCATCAATAGGTATTTTTTAACTATTTATAATCAGTTATTTCATTTTGTGGGTTATTTTATTTTTTAGATTCAAAAAAGAAACTGTTTCTGAAATAATTCAAATGTTCTAGTTCATAACTAAAAAGTATAGTAAAGGCTCAGTGTACCATATATGGAACCGAAATAAAAAAATGATTTTCCAGTAAAATAAGCAATTATTATTTTTTTTATTATTTTTCCCTAACTACTAGCCACTAATGACATCATATATATTTTTGTCACCCATACAAAAAAAATTGAGCCTTCTAGGGTTAATGGGTTAATGCACGAAACTTTATTTATTTATTGACGTGTCGTAGCCTTTACAGGGTAATTCGTCAGAATTAAACTTTTATTTAATTTGTCGAGCTACCTTCGAAAGGCTTTTATTGAGCGTTCGGTTATTTCATTGTTCGATTTTTAAAGTTATATTGTCTATGTATGAATTTATTATTAAATTTACTTAATAAAGTATTTTATTTAAATTCTTTTTTGTAATTTTGAGTTTATTTATATGACCCTAACTACCGTAAACTACCACCGGTTCCAAAATTGGGAGACCTTTCTGAGAAGAATCGGCGAAACAAACTCAAGAGAGGCTTTCTATCTCCTTCTTATGTTGAATTGAAGGTAGCTCGACAAATCAAATAAAAGTTTAATTCTGACGACGTAGCCTGTAAAGGCTTCGGAACGTCAATAAATAAATAAAGTTTCGTGCATTAACCCGTAAAAACTAGTTTTATTTAATGAGTGATGTGCGTGAAAACCTAAGAAACAAATACTTATAAGTTTAAAAGTTTTTTAATCACATCGTGGTTTATCAACTCCCTCGTGTTTCATTTTCGAATCAAAGTTTCATCAAACATTTTTGGTTAATTTTTTAGTTGTGAAAGGGTTACTTAGAAACACAGTTATTCTCGCACTTATTATACTCCTAAGTATTACGATGGATGGATAAAATTCATCCTCGCCTTACGCTACGGCCGCATAATCTGGCCAAGCAATAGTCACATTTATAAACATGTTCTGAAACTTGACTATTGCTTGGCACGATTTGCCGTGCATACGAAAAATGTTCGCGATAGCGTGACAGCGTGATCATAGCATTTAATGAAATGAAATGGAATGCTATGCACTGCATACAATGTAAGTCAGTCAAGGTGATAAGCGACGCAGGGAAATCGATAGAGCAACTCGGAAGGGAGAAGCCATGACGACAATAATACAATTCAAATCATTCTGTCATTTTTTCCTGGACGAAAATACACACAAATAAAAAACTGTAATCACGACACTGAGGAGCTCGATGGCGCAAGTGGTTAGCGCGTTCGGCTGCCGTCGTTGAAGTTAAGCAACTTTCGCCGTGGTCGGTCATTGGATGGGTGACCAAAAATTTACTATCTGGAGCTCCTCCGTGCTTCGGAAGGCACGTTAAGCCGTTGGTCCCGGCTGCATCTGCAGTCGTTAGCACCCACCAATCCGCACTGGGCCTGCGTGGTGGGTCATAGCCCAATCTCCCTATTCCATCCATAGGGAAGGCCTGTGCCCCAGCAGTGGGGACATTAATAGGCTGATGATGAATCACGACACTCAAACATAAAAAATGATACAACACTTTGCCAAATCCCGCATTCATGTATCGTTTTTATACCCAATTTCTATGTCCAATTGGACAGAGGGGAAAGCTGAGTATGGCTACTCCCGTCCCGGCCGCGTCAGTCGTGTTGCTCTGTGGGCAAAGCAGTACCCTTAGTTCGAGTTTGCGCTCACAAAAACTATCATAGTTTTCGTAATTGTAAATTATGTTTGTATGTCCATTTTGGTGAAAAGTAACCAAATATTCTTAAAATTTAAGAAGACGCAAATGATTTAACGATAGAATTTAAACACTGTTTATTTGTATTGAAACGAAAACAATAAAATCAGTACCCTTAGTACGAGTGCGAGCTCACGAAAACTATCATAGTTTTCGTAATTGTAAATTCAAATTCAAATAATTTTTATTGCGAATACAGGTAATATTGTGTTGTGTTCAAGTATACAAATTATATTATGTTCAGCCATATTCTGTCTTGTTGACATGCAATGTTATCACGTTTAGTTCACTATTAATTATATTATTCTAACAATGTCAATTAAGTACTTATATTAATCTAAAAAGAAATTATAATTTGATAAATGAGATGTCTAAGTCACATTTTGAAAGTAATAATAATAATAATGGATATATACAAAAACCTTACCATAATGTCAAATTAGAATACATGTCAAAATGAAGATAATGCCAAATTAAATTATAGGTCAAATTACAAGATAGGTCATTTAAATAAAATTAAATAAACTCGTACTAAGGGTACAGGCCTTTTGGATTGAATCGAAACGCTAGTTTCGAAAAGTATTCTCCATATTGTAGAAAATAACAGTAAAACAACGTATCTTTCTAATGGTGTTGAGTTTATTTATGTTGGTAAACAGGATGGTAAGGCTGAACTCACACTGAAGCAGGGTCGAAGCAATGCGATACGTCATGGTTTCCCGTGTAGGCTTTTAGCAAATTAATAAATTATATAAATAAATATTTCCATTAGCGGGTACTAACGACTGCAGATGCAGCCGGGACCAACGGCTTAACGTGCCTTCCGAAGCACGGAGGCACTCGAGATAGACGATTTTTGGTCACCCATCTAATGACCGACCACTGCGAAAGTTGTTTAACTTCAACGATCGCAGCCGAACGCGCTAAATACCCGCGCCATTGAGCTGCTCAAAAGACACTGGTTTTGTATACATCTTTTCTTGTAGTATGGCTAATTTTATTAAAGGAACCGCAAAAATAAAAAAAAATGTTATCAAAATCGTCGAATCATAATCTAATATATAAAATTCTCGTGTCGCGGTGTTTGTGGTTAAACTCCTCCGAAACGGCTGGACCGATTTTCGTGAAATTCTATATACATTTTCAGTAGGTCTGAGAATCGGACAACATCTATTTTTCATCCCCCTAAATGTTAAGGGTTAACCAATTTTTTAAATTTTTTTTTTGATACATCATACGAAAATAGATACAACCCTAAATTTTCTCCCTTCTACCACCAACCCCTATTTTTTTATGGCGGTACGAAGTTCGCTGGGACAGCTAGTAACAGATATAAATACAGAACAGCGTTCCCTGTTCAAAAATTTGTTCGCATTCCGTATGCATGAAAGTGAGCGTAGCGGCGTTGCTCACGACCCGTCCCGCACTTGCATCTTGACCCGGGTGTAACACTAAAACGCGGACTTAAAGCCTCATCAACCGTTGCAGCATCCCTGCAAGGGTTGAACGACCGGACGCATGCGCCGTGCTATGCCCCATCTTTTTCGGGCTAAATAGCCAACCGGCTGTCTTATGCGCGTTCATTTCGTCTAACTGCGATCAAATTTCGATCTTACCATGTAACGAACTGGTTCCTTTTGACGGTCGGGGTCGGTCGCGAGTGCCGTACGCCAGTGTTCCGCCGGTCGTCGCCGGCTCCGCGTGTCGGAAACCTACGGTCCGTCTTTTATCCGATCGCGAAAAGTTTACAACTTTCCGTTCGCGCTCCGCAAATAAACGCCGATCTTTACCGCTGATGCTGTTCTGTTGATGAATTGTATTCTTTTTTGTTTTTTCCTCGTTATAAAAAGGATTGTTGTGAAAGGGCAGTGTTCGGATGATTTGTAACTTTGTTATTTGTGAGTTTTATGACATTGAATTTGGTAAAGTAAGGGATTGAAAAGACTGTTTTAACTATCCTGAAAAGGCAATGGAAGTTTGGAGTGGCCGCAATTTCACTCGTTCGTAAATTAGGTGAGTTTCAAAGTTTGTAAAATTTACTTAATATTGTTAATTAACATTACATAATTTTACAGCGGTTTAAAAATTTAATAATCAAAATGATTATGTTATTTACAAATCCAACACATCCAAATACGTCTGAAAACAACGAATTATTTTAATATTTTGTTTATATTAAATTTATTAATAAATTAAATGAGAAACGAATTTTCGAAACAATTTTATTTTTATTAAAATTATTATTGTTTTTTTATAACAATGAGTTCATAACTTATTTTTACATAAAACGAATATAAGTATTTTCAAAAGAAGATAGAGTTTTCTTATTATTTATACGATAATATGCGTTATATTTTTTCTAAGTATGATTCGGCTAATAAAATTATTTATATTCAGTGTTATGTTAAATACATCGCTACTCACTTATTCACTACAAAAGTAACTAAATTCTTATATAATAAAATATTAGCATTTGAAAACCAAAATAATTCTAATTACAGTGTCAAATTCTGCAATGCAAACCCATATGAGTTTCACCGTTGGATCTAACGCCTTGTTATATGTACCTATTAATAAATCATTTGGGACTGAGATATTATTAATGCATACAGCCCTTCGCGGGACTTGTGAAGTGCGGAGGATTATCGTTATAAACTTCCAGCCCTCAATCCAATGAGCGACCTTTGATAAAGTTACTTAACCTCAGCAATCGCAAACTATATTGTAAACCTTTACGTCATTCACTTATTTATTTATTCATTATTATTTGGGAAACATACAGTTTTACACAATAGGGGCGATGACGGGGTACATTAAACGAAATTCTATTTAGTCCGTCAGTTAGATGATCAAAAAATAATGGACACATATTTTTTCTTTGGGCAATCAACCAAAAAATGACAGTTATAGCGCGTCAAAGTTTGGGAGTAGAGGCTCGTGACGTCACTTTTGAGTGAATTTTCACTTGTAAGTGTACTCAAACGTGACGTCATGCGACTTTTCAAATCAAAATATCTATGCAATGTTTATATTATGTAAAAAAAGAAAAACTACGTGTCCAATACATTTTGATAATCTACCTGATAAACGAAGAAAAAAAAATAGTCATCATCCCTATTCAATTAAGTAAAACATTCTATTATACAATAAACCAATTAAGTTTCCACAGACTGAAACATTTATACACTTACATAATTTACTTAAAATTACGTACAATTTAGTTATGTGAATACAGATCATGATAAGTGAAAAATTATGGCAAGAAAATAATTACTAAGTCTTAGGGTTAACAACTTTATAGCATTCATTTCTAAATTAATTGTCATCATCAGCCTATTAATGTCCTCACTGCTGGGGCACAGGCCTTCCCTATGGATGGAATAGGGAGATTGGGTCATGACCCACCACGCGGCCCTAGTGCGGATTGATGGGTGCTAACGACTGCAGATGCAACCGGGACAAACGCCTTAACGTGCCTTCTTAAGCACGGAGGAGCTCGAAATAGTAAATTTTTGGTCACCCATCCAATGACCGACCACTGCGAAAGTTGCTTAACTTCAACGATAGCAGCCGAACGCGCTAACCACTTGCGCCATCGAGCTCCGATTCGAATCGATCGAATTAATTGTAAGAAAGGCAAAATATATCCAATATTCTTATCAACTAATAAGTTGGTTGTTTTTTGTATATCGCGTTTATATTTCCATATAAATATACTTATATATCTATCAAATATAATATGTATTCTATTCGTTATCATAGCATCATATAACACAAGCCTTCCAGTGCTTACTTTGGGGCTAGGCTTATTGTTGTGAATGTGGGAAATATCTATTTTATTTATTTTTCAACACCCTCATTAAAACAGTTTACGGGTACAGATATCATAATAATATAACAGTGCACATAATCTACAGACTCACCATCGTCCAGAATACTTGCGTAACCTTAATTATAAAAAATATCTCCTACCGAAAACCAACAATGTATATGGTTCGAGAACACTAAAATATGTTATTTCTAAATTTCTAAATGAAATGCCCCCCAGTATTCAAGAATTGTATATGAAAGATAATTGTAAACATAAACTTAAAAAAATATTTGTTAGAGCGAATCTCTGTAGACAGATAAACCCATGTTTAAGGGTTTTTAGATACAGCCATTGAATATCAAAATGTTATTGATTTTATTGAATAAATAAATAAAAATAAATAAAATAAATATAATAAATTTAAAAGTTTTCATATTTGCCACTGAATTACACAAAAACTTGTGAACCCAAATTTTTTTTGACCACGTCAAATCGCAAGCTCGACGAAAAGCACAAATATGCAAACATTGCAACAATCCACAACAAACATTTGCGATGCCAAGATCACCTTTGACACATTGAAGCACGTTTACAAAACCGATACAGTCACTGAATATATAAACAAATCTAACTATTTACAGACGGACCAGCAGTCTCTGAGCCTATAAGTTAGTTTTACGTCAACGTCTTGATAAAAACATTAAGATACATTATTTTATATCCTTTATTGAAATAGGAGCAAACTAAAATCATAGAAAGCGACAGCCGCGTACTTTCCCACGCGTACAATGAAACTCTATTAAAATTGGTGTTTCTAAAGGTCTTTCCGGGGTCCGTTTTATGAATATACCAAATTTTATCAAAATCTTTAGCCCAACAAAGGTTAATATATGAAAACGTAATACAGAGACGAAAAAGACTGCTTTTGTATTAATATTTTTTCTATTTCTAATGATCTTTTATATGGTTTTTCATAATTAAAATAATCTTCCTATTTTGTCTATTTTTTTTTTAAATTTGACGACTTCCGTGGCCGACTCGAGAGGTCCCGATTCGAATCCCGGTGGGGGCAGATGTTTGTGTGATGAATACGAGCATTTGTACTCCAGTCATGGATGTGTAACATGTATATAAACATGTATCTATATAAATATACTTATATATATGTGCAGTATACGTTACCCTAGTATCCCATAACACAATCCTTATAGTGCTTACTTTGGGGTTAGGTAAATTGTTATGAGTGTTGGAAATATGTATTTATTATTAACTACAGATGTACATTCCTAGCATCCATACAGTGTACAGTAGACTTTAATAAATTTCGTACTAAAAGATATTGAAAGTCATTGAGTTACAAAAAGTTCACGAATGTAATTTTTCAATACCGGAAATATCAAATTATGTACGCACGAAAAATGTGCCTGCCTGTAGCCATCAACAAAAATACAACAACATAAAAATTTTATTATTTTACTGAATACGTTTTTAAGTTTTGATGTCAAATTTTAAATTGACAGCACTGTATGAAATAAAACAGGGTGCAAAAAATTGCCCTTGCTGAGTTTTTCGCCGATTCTTCACAGTACAAGGTCCTCCGCCGTAGATTTACGAGCCGTTGGGTTACAGTTGAGATTAACAATACCTTGTAACATTCTAGACTGAATAAATGATTTTGAGTTTGAGTTTGTGGTCTTGTGTAAGATGGTTACTTTCCTAGCGGGTCCTTAGATTCGAGTATGATAGCCGCTATCTTCCACTTTGTTCGCATGTAAAAAAGTAAGTGATGCAGGGCTCTATAGGGTAGGATTGGGTTAGGGTAGGCAACGGAGTGAGTTATTTATTAAGGACAGCCAACAAAATTTATATTTTTGGTATCACAATCGTTTATAGGCTAAGCCAGCGCGCCTACCATCAGAGGAGCCAAAACCTTGTTTGCCAACCTTTTAGCGTAAAAAAGGTTAGGTAAAAATTAAATAAATAAATAAATATTTCCAACACTCACACCAATTAGCCTAGCCCAAAGTAAGCACTGTAAAGCTTGTGTTATGGAATGCTAGGGTAACGGATAGAATACATATACAGTACATACATAAGTATATTTATATAGAAATACATATTAAACATCCATGACTGGAGTACCAGTGCTCGTGTTCATCACACAAACTACTGCCCCCACCGGGATTTGAACCCGGGAGCTCTCGAGTCGGCGACACCATGAAACCCAGCGTACAAACCACTCAGCCACGGAGTCGTCAGAGGTCGTTAAGTGAAAGTAATATAACAATTTAAATTGTAAAACATCAAGCTGGTTGCTTTCGATTTTAAATTTATGACAAATAAAATAATAAATGCCGTATAACTGAATAATTTAGAGGTGTACTTTGAATTCAGTTATTTAGAACTGTAGTTTGAATTAAGAAATAACAAGTCTGTTTAAAACTTAACAAAATTTTAATAGAAATAAAAATGTACGCAGTCCAAGTTTAAGACGGGCGAAAACCCGTCCCGATTGGTTAGATTGGTAGTAAATGGTTTTTTAGATTAAAAAACTTAGCAGTTAAATGTTTAAATTTAAACTATCACAATCAATAAGTTTGCTTTTCAAAAAACTAAATATCATTATAGTATGTGAGACCAAACCATTTAAGAATGTCTGTAAGAAAACAAACTCAGTAGATACTGAAGTAGGAAGGAATATAACATAAAATGTTTGATTAAAATACTGAACTGAACTGACATTGAACAACATTTCAATGCAGAAGGTGTGATGAAGAAAAAACAACATACTGACACGAGAAAGACATTCGATCTCACACGTGGAGATAAAATGTCTCTTTAACACAAATTGTTACGAGGAATCCAGTCTGGCATATAAACCCGCGTAAGTAAACAGTCTTGACAATCCCGAAATAGATTTAATACAATCCTTCTACGCGTAATGTCTCTTATCTTTTCCACGACAACAATCTAGGAAATGGTAATTTCTTTGTCTAATTGAAATATGATTGCTATGCCATGCTCGAGTTCATAATCTTCTGCGAACTTTAATTTTATATTACAGAGATGCACGCGGTTTCATCCTCATCAATTGAAGGAAATAGTGGGTCACCCTTAAAGACTTTTTTATAGAACTTCTAAAGGAAAACAATTCCGTTATCTATCTTATATATATGTATAAAACTCAAAGGTGACTGACTGA